CCTTTCCTTTTCCCTTTCCTTTCCTTTTCCCTTTCCTTTCCTTTTCCTTTCCTTTTCCTTTCCCTTTGCTTTCCCTTTCCTTTTCCTTTCCTTTTCCATTAAGTTCCCCTCAGTTCCTTTCCATTCCCCTCAATTCCTCTCCTCTCCATCCCATTTCCAACCCAGAACTCCCACAAACCCCAACCACACCAACAAACCCCGCTCCTTAAGAGCATCCCACACCCCAAATCCCCAAATCCCCGATGCCTTGATCCCGCTTTTCCCCCGTTCCTGCACTCACACATTCCTTCTCCCACTTGAGGGAGGTCTCAGCCACCATTCCCTGCAGCCTGGCCTCCAGCCTCCTCTTGTCCGACGCCTGTCTCTGCAGCTTCTGGCTCTTGCTCTCCAGCTCCTGCTGCAGGTTCCTCTTGTCCTCCTCGTAAATCGTGGCCGTCTTCTCCAAAATCTCAATCTACAGCAAGACAGGAAGGATTTGGGCGGGAACACAACCTTTTCATCCAGGAATTCCTGCTTGTATTTCCCGGGAAATCTCAATTTTCACTTCTAAATCGCCCATTTTGCTGCTTTAAAAGACTCACCCCATAAAAAAAGCCAACAAATTTTCAGCAGAAGTTCCCCCCAAAATATTTATTCCTGATGGCAAGGAATTTGCCAATAATCCATTTTAAACAATGGGATTTCTGCTCCAGGACGACCCAGCTGACCTTGTACTCCAAGGTTTTAATCTTCTTCTCCAGCCGTTCCAGCTCCGTCTTCTGCCCTGTTATGGTTTTCTCCTTCTCAGCCAGTTTTCCTTGGATATAATTTTCCTTGGATGCAACACTGGAGTCAAATTCTTGCAGCATTGTTTTAAAGGCAAGAACTGGAAGAGAATTCAGATATTTTCTATTTTATCTTTAATCTTCTCTTCTACCCCCAGAACGTCCAAACCTCTGTTTTTCCCAACAAATTTTAAAGCCTAAAATTCCTCAAAAAAAAAAGGTTGGAACAATCAATCTAAACAAGAAAATTGAGGCAAGGGGGATCCTTTGAGGAATAATAAGGGCACCAAATCTGAGTTTTGCCCTGATGTTCCAATTTGGGGCAAATTCCTACCACTTTTGGCAAATTCCTCTGTCAGCATCTGCCTCATTTTGTGGCGCTGCTCCAGGGCCTCGATCAGTTTTGGGAGCGTTTGGTCGTCGTTGATGTCCAAGAGCTCGCAGGAAGGCAGGGGAGGGAAGCTCTGGAAGAAGAGCTCAGCAGCAGACGGCTCCTCTGGTCCTGCAGGATGGAAAATCCGTCAGCAGGACGGGAAAATTCCAACAGACAAGGGGCAGGATCGTGGAAAACTGGGAATGATGGATGGGAGCTACGGGTTTCCAAAGAGGTGAGGGATGGGAAAGGATTAAATGTGACATCTTTGATTCTTTGTTTTACTAAAAGCAGGTCCTGAACATTGGGGAACATCCCTCAATTTCCTTGGCACAATTTCCTGTACGAAGCTGCAATATTGGGACCATGGATTCATCCCAATCTTGTGGAATTCCTTGGAAAGGAAACCTCCACAGGGACACTGCAGAGGGAAGAGCAGCAGCTCCCGGGGCACTGAGGTTCAGCCTGACACAGTTAAGACTCAGTGGAATTGGTTTAAAATTTAATTCCCAGCCTTGAATTCCTAACAGAAAACTCTGCTGGANTTCTTGGGCTGCATCCTGAGGGCACCACCAAGAGCTTGGCATCAAATTATCCCTGGAATGTTCCCGGCCAATTCCTATTTTTTGGGCATCAAGTTATCCATGGAATATTCCAGGCCAATTCCTATTTAATGGAAATTTTATCCCAGTGTTGTCCAATCTGTCACATTCCTTTAAGTCTCCTCAAGTTTGGGAAAGCTCCTCCCAAATTTCCAAATTCACAGCACCAGCCCAAGGGATTGTCCTGCTCTGCTTTCCTAAAGTGCTCTTGGATTGAATCCTGACAGCACCACCATGAGCTTAGCATGAAATAACCCATGGAATATTCCAGGCCATCTCCTGTTTTTGGGGGATCAAATTATGAATGGAATATTCCACGTCAAGTCCTATTTCTTGGGAATTTTTGTCCAATCTGTTGCATTCCACACCTAAGAAGGAGAGGACAAAGGAAGGGATTGTGAACCTCTGTTTTTCTAAAGTGCTCTTGGACTGAATCCTCAAGGAGCCAAATAATTCATGGAATCAGAGCCCCCAGTTTAAAGGGAATTAGGGAATTAAAGCTGAGGCACACAAAAGGTTTATCCAAGGAATGTTTCCAGGCAGGAAAAGCTCCCAGAAGCACCTTGGAAGCTGGGAAATTGCAGGAGGGATTGAAGGAGACACGAGGGAAACGGAAAGGAAAAGGGAAAATGCCAGGAAAAGGGAAACACCAGGGGAAAACATGAGGACATGAGAAGCGTGTGGCCACCTCAGAGCTCCCTAAAAGTGGGAATTCTCAACTTCCAAGGAAGCTCCAAACACCAAGAGGGCGGCGAGAGCAGCCAGGCTCAGTCTGGGACCAGCAGGACACGTGAGGGACAGCTCTACTCTACGTCAGCCTCGAGGACAGAGCACCTGTGAGCCAGGCTGAGCCCCGCTAGGCCAGGACTAACCCTGCAGCACGGATCCTCTTCCTGCTCTAGCTCCTCTCTATCCCTGGGCACCTCCAGCGCTCGGCTCCAGCACATCCCTCTCCGCCTGGCAGGGCTGGGCCAGGCCGA